GTACCTAGGAATAAATTCATGCAAGGAGACAAGTTGTCCGCTGACAGTGGGAAACATTCCTGAGAGAAATTAAAGACAGACCTGTGGGACGACATCTGTGTTCGCTGAGGAGGGTGCTGGCTGTTGTTACAGTGTCCACACCACCCAAAGTGACCCACAGCGTGAGCACAGCCCGTCGACATCCCACGCGGGGTCTGCAGAAATAGGGGAATCTGCCTTAAAATTCAGACGGAATTCTAAGGGACGCTGAGTGGCCACAGGACCTCACACGCCCTGACCCCAAGCTGCAGTCATGTGAGCAGCACAGAACCGGCCTGAAGACAGACAGTGGGACAGGACAGACAGACAGAAGCCCCCGTCCCCATGACCCACGTCAGCGGAGCCAGGAACACACTGTGGGGAAAGAACAGACTCTTCCGCGGAAGATTCTGGAAAAACTGGACATCACGTGCGAAAGATGACGTTGGAGTCCAAGGGGACCCCACACACAGACGTCAACTCAGTGAAGCAAAGACCGAAACGTCAGACCCGCCCCCGTCCACAGTCCCCGGGAAGGACACAGGCCCAAGTCGACCTCACGCCGGTCTGGGCAGCCACCAGAAACAGCCCGGACGGAAAGTCGACCAGGAGGCGCGGCCTGCGGAACCGGGGAGACACGTCTGCCGGCCGCTAACCGCCAGGACCACAGGTCGCCCCACTTCCCAGAAGTCCGTGTCCAACCACTTTGCTTTCAGGAAACGTCTACATCAGCCCGTGTCTCCACGGGAGAGGAAGGTGGAGAGACCCCGCCTTCGCGGGAAAGCCGTTCACGCCAGTGCCGGGCGGGCGCAGAGGCCGGACGGGGGCTCGCAGACACTCGGGGGGCGGTGTGGGGGGGGCCTGTACGATGGACTCCGACAACTCAGCTCCAAGACCTGCTGGGAAAAAAAGAACAGAACTGTGCAAACATTTCTCAAAAGAAAGTTACAAACGGCCTGCAAATATGTGGAGAGAGATTTGACTAATTTTCATGGAAATGAAAACGATGAGTCGCCACCTCACACCCGTTAGGACGGTCACTACCAGGGAAACAGTAACGAGCAGGTGGGAGGAGAAGGGGCCTGTGCACTGGTGGGGGCAGCTGGTGCGCGGCGGGGTCCCCAGGGGACGGCCACCCGGCCCCGCCCACCAAGTGCAGGTACATTTGCGTCAGAAGCTGAGCCGGCTGACGCTTTGTGTCAGCAGAGTCCTGTGTTTTCTTACGTTTTACCCACTTTTCTACTTGGCCTTTTTCATTGTCTCATAAAACTGTTCATGTTGAGGATATTGGATTTTTATCATCACATATTGCAGTTTTTCCTAGTATTTTGCTGGTTCATTTTTTGTTTTGTTTCCAAATTCACGAAGAACATAAAGTTTGTGATGTAAACAAGTCATTCCCCACACCTCCCTCCGCACAGATTCTGCTCCGAAGTTACGACTGAGCCTCTAAGCCGCTTCTCGGGACGCTGGACCCCGTGCCCCAGGCTTGGCGCCCGCTTTCCCTGGGGGTCAGAGCCGGGCAGAGGCCCCTGTCTAGGTGGCACCCCGGGCGCTGCTCCCCTTGCGGTGCCACAGCTGCTGCCTTTGGGGTGCGTGCTGTGCCCAGCATCGGAGCGGGGACCCTCCGGCTCCGGGTTCTCCCCGGGGCTCAGAGCTGCAGACCCACCGCCGTCTGCTCGGTGCTTAGAAGCTGCCCCGCGTGCGGGTTTGTCCTGGAGCCGGTGTTTCTGGAAGCCTGGTTCTCTCCGCGTCGGCACTGCCCCTGGGCTCTGCGTCGTGGGCTGGGGGTCGGTTCTGGACTGGCCGTGGGCTCTCTGACCACACGTGTCCCACCCTTCACTCCCGAAAACCCTGCACCATTCTCCTGCTTTTCCCGTGAAAGTCGTGAGACTCACCACGTGGACGGTCCCGTAACCACGCCTTCACCCTCTGCCTGAACCTCGATCTGACCAGCCTCCGGACCGCGAGGCCTGTCGGGGGCCCGCTGCTGTGACAGCCCAGACCGGTGACAGACGCGTGGGGCACAGTGGACAGTGTGCGGGTCGGTCCGCCAGGGCGGACTCCTTACTGCTGGCTGCCAGCCGTCTGTCCTTCCGTGACCACTTTCCCCATTGACTCTGCGTATAAACACACGACTGGCTCCAGCTGGTTTGGCCCAGTGGCGGGTGCATCGGCCTGCGGACCGGAGAGTCGAGGGTTCGATTCCGGTCAGAGGCTCGGGCCTCGGCTGCAGTTTGATCCCTGGCCCTGGTCAGGATCATGTGGGAGGCAGCCAGTCGATAAGTGTCTCATATCAATGCCCCCCCCCCAACTCTATCTGATAATCGGTGGAAAAATATCCTGGGGTGAGGATTGAAAAACAACATATAACTGTAGACGTGTGCAGATACATAAACACGACACAGGTGTGTTCGAGTGTGTGACAGTCACAAACACACGGATTTCGTGTGTGAGGAGGACGCGTGTCCAGTGCTGTGTCTGCGTGGGTGGCGCACGGGGTGGACTCGCACCCGCATCTTGCTGGTCATTCCTGTGGCCCCTCCACTCAGGAGATGATGCTCCGCGTGTCTGACCCGCCCTCCGCCGCCGGGACTGCCCCGTGCGTCCCCTCCTCAGGCTGGGGCACAGGACACACTGGCCCTGACGCGGGCCCTCCCTCCTCCGTCAGTGGGAAGGGTCAGAGCTGACCCGGGTGATTCGGGTGTTTAAGGGTAATTAGAAGCACTGTTGAGCCCGGCCCTTGTGGCTCAGGGGACTGAGCGACGTCCCGGGGACTGTGGGGTCCTGGTTCGATTCCCACCCAGGTTGCGGACTCCATCCCCAGTGGGGCGTGCAGGAGGCAGCTGATGGATGTGTCTCTCCCCCGCCTCTCTCTCTCAAAAGATCAATAAAAACATACTTCTAAAAAAAAGAAGATAGCCCTGGCCGGTTTGGCTCAGCGGTTAGAGCATCGGCCTGCGGTCCGGAGAGACCCGGGTTCGGTTCCCGCTAAGGGCACGTACTTCGGTTGCAGTTTGTCCCCGGCCCTGGTTGGTCGTGCGGGTGGCAGCCATTCGATGTGTCCCTTCACGTCGATGTTTCTCTCTCTCTCTCTCTCTTCCTCTCTCTTCCTCCCACTCTATCTGTACAAAAAATGGAAAAATATCCTCGGGTGAGGATAAAAAAAAATAATAAAAAATAAAAAAAGGAAGATATACTATTGAATAAGTGATGAAATAAAGCAAATCACCAAAGGGTAGCTGGAGGCTGATCAGAGCCCTGTTCCTGTTTCAGCGGCTGTGGCCGGGCTGTTGCCCGGTGTCCCCGAGCCGCACCAGTGGGAGCGAACAGGAAGCGTTAGCCGATTCTCACTCCATCCGAGAGGTGGTTTCCTTGCCAAGGGCGAACCTGACAGATGAAACTCCACCAGCCTGAGGCCTGCGTGCGCCCCCCTCCTGGTTCTGGGGGTGGTGACGGCCTCCGTGCTTCTGGCTTTATTCTCTGAATAGTCACCAGGGCCGGTCCCTGCGTCCGACCTGGTCCAGTCGCGCTGCCCGCAGGAACAGGGCCCCCACGCCGTCCCCGCAGCTGAGTGCCTGTGTGGGGTGTCCCTGCGCGGACGAGCCCGGGCGCGGGCAGGGGCCCCTCGTGCCCCGGTGCTGCTCCGAGCTGGGAGCCCGGGGGTCTGGGCGCTGGCAAAGGCCCTGCCGCCCGGTAGCCGTGGTCTGCTGAGCTCCCGGGGTCGGTTCGCATTGACCCAGCCGCCCGAGCGAGCCTGAGGCCGGGTCACGGCTCAGAGCTCAAGCGTGAGGTCCTGTGACTTAGCGCTCAGAATGGCTGGTGCGGAAGCCTGTGGCTCCTCCCGCCCATGAGCCGGCCCGGCACCGCGTCTCCCTGACGGCACAGCCGGTGCTCCTACGGAGGAGCTTCGAGACACGTACCCCCGCCAGCAACGCCCTGGAATGGAAACACCGCCGTAGGTGTCGGCACGCGGCAGCCTGTGGGGGTTTCACAGGCTGTTCCAGCCAAGCTGACCAGGGCTGGGGGCAGGTCTGCGGCTTCTCCCATGTGTCTGGAGTTGGGGGGTGTGGAAGGTCCCGTGAGCGGGGGGGACTGGCAGGTTGGGTGACGGGCTCTCCCGTGGTTGCAGCTTGTTCACAGCTTGTGACCAGGATACTCAGGACGGCGGACGGGCTGGCTGGAGGCCGGCATCGGCCTTTGACAGGAGGTTAGTGGCTGGGGCGCGACTGCCCACGGGGGAGTCCAGGGTCAGTCCCATGAGGTCACTTCCCACAGCACCCCCTTTACGTCCACAGGGACAGAGTGGGCTCGGGGTCTACGCAGCTGGCTCCACACGGCCCGTCTCCCAGCCACACGAGGAAGCGCGTGGACATGAGTGGGGACACTGCCACTGAGTTCCCGGACAGACAGACGCTGACCTTCCCGCGTCCTCCAGGGGTGCGGTTCTCCCAGGGCTGCCGGGACGCCTGGCCTGACAGATGGTCAGTCTGACTCCCGGCCTGGGGCCCGAACACCCTCAACAGAGTCCGCGTCGAATTGCTCTGGTTAAGCGGAGACGGAACCTGGTCAGGTGGGAGGTGCCCACAGGGCTGACCCGCCTGTGTTATTAGTCGTCGTCCTTTGCGTTAGTTCCTGCTTCTCAGAGATGTTTGGTGAGATATCTCCACGCGCCACCCTCCGCTGTATGTGACGCGTCCTGGTGACACGTCTGGGTTCTGACCTGTTCGCACCAGGACGCCCGGCAGCCTGGGCCCCGGCGGAGCCTGTCACAGGGGCTGAGGGTGCCCGCAGGGCTTCCGTCCTGGGGTCGCTGTGGCTGTCCTCACGGCACGGACGGCGGAGGGGACGAGATGGCCGTCCCGCAGGTACCGGGCAGCCGCCCCGTTTGTTTTCTAGGCTTTGGCTCCACAGATCTTGTTGCAAAACTGATCTGTTCATTTTCTCCCTCAGACTCGATCTCTTTCTTAACCTTTTATCAGGTGCAGGGAGCCGGCTTCCGAGGATGGAAAGAAGTGACCTCGCTGTTCGATAGTGACGACGAGCAGCACCTGCTGGGGAGATGCAAAGCCCCCAAGTCCAGAGGGTGAGTCCCATGGGGGGCGTGGGGAGTGGCGAGGTCCCTGCCTGCACCCCTGTCCCTGTCTCGTGGGGACAGCAGGGCAGGTGGCGGTGAGAGTCCGTCCCCTTGGGGTCGGCGGGAATTCGTAGGACCAGCTGGGCCCCTGGATGGAGACGGAGCAGGTGTGTGTCCTGTGAGGTCAGGAGGCCACTCAGCAGGGTCTCGGACCTGCTCCACTGCACGGTCGCGGCCGAAGCCACGAGCCAGACCAGGCTGCAGCCGGCGCTAGACGTTCAGCAGTTTCATAAATTCAAGGGAAAAAACTCAAAACGGCAAAGGGTATAAAGAGGTTAGAAAGTGAACGTACGTGATGCCGGCGGCTGGGTGGGGCCAGGAGCCTCTGAGGCGCGGGGTTCGCGGACGCGCCCCTGGCCCACAGCCACGTTCTTCTCTGAGGACCGGGAAGTCGGGCCTGTGTCCTGGCCCCTCCGTCTAAGTGACTGAGCCTCTCGGGGGCGCAGCCTGGACGTGGTATTGGGGGTGCTCCAGCCACCAGACTGCGGGACCCGTGGCCACTGTCCCCCCGTGGTGCATGGGGCTCTGAATCCGTTTGTTCAGCAAATGCCCCTACGTGCTGGGGACCAGCCAGCTGGGTGGGGAACCCTCTGGGAATCACTGGACACGGAGTGACCCCCACACACGGGCCTGGCTCCCTCTGCTTACTTTGCTTCGACACCTGAGCACCCAGAGCCTCCTCGGGGGGAATTGGCGGCGTAGTTCCAAGCGGGGTCTCAGACGAGGCTCCACGATTTCATCGCTGACGTGCGGTGACTAATGTTTCCCTATTTTGCTGTTTAAAGTTTCACGTGTCGATTTGTGTCACTTTCTGCCTGATTTAAGTGTGTAGAAGAAGGGCCTCTGTGCGCAGCGGGACGCACTGCAGGCCCCGCCCCACTCCGCTCCTGTCTCCTGCAGGGCCGGCGCGCGGCTGAAGGAGGAGCTGCGGACCGAGAGGAAGCCTGGGTTCTGGGACAGTTTGGTCCTAAAGCAGAACGTGCCGTCGAAGAAGCCGGACGAGATTGAAGGCTGGGAGCCCCCAAAGCTCGCCCTGGAGGACGTGGCCGCCGAGCCGGGGGGCTCCCTGGGTGCCGGGGCGGCGGGGCCGGGCTGGGAGGAGGGGGCCGCGGGCTCCGGCAAGTACACCAGCCTGGCCAGCCCGGGGGGTGGCTCGCGCTGGAGCCTGCGGTCGGCCGGGAGGCTGGTCAGCATCCGGCGCCAGAGCCGGGGCCACCTGACCGAGCGCTGGGAGGAGCTGGAGTGAGGCCGGGCCGTCCCCGGGCGCCTCACACTGGACGCCCCGACGTTGCCGCTTCGCGTCCCGTCTGCTCAGGGCCTTAGTCGCTGTGGTGTGTTTGCTAGTCCTGAGTTGTCCGTCTTTCCCGATCAAGAGCATGGAGTCTGCTCTGCACACGTTTCCTGTCTCAGCCGGTTCGGAATCTCCAGACACTGACCGCTTGGCGGGGCCGCGGCTGCTGTCCTGCGAGTCCGTTCCCGCCGCCCTCAGCGGCCGCCGTCCGGGCCGTGGTTGGTCCTGCCGTCGCGTCACCGCTGTGGCCACGCGACAAGCACGCCAGCCCGGGCGTCTTGCGAAGGCGTCGTGTTTACCCTGGGAAGTCACACTCTGTCTCGTGTTGCATAAAAGTCAGCAAATCAAAACCCAGGGCAGCAAGGGCTGCGCCAGGGGCACGAGGCCCCCACCTGCGGCGGACACGGAGCCGCCTGCTCGGAGCTCCCGTCTGCACCGCTGGACTTTCCGACACTGATCTTTCTTCTCCTCTAAAGGTTTGTCCTTTTCTGATGACGGACTAGGAGTGCTGTAGTGTGGGTCCGTCTTCGTAACTTGAATCCATGATTTTGTGTGGAAAACGTTCGCTTGCTCATTGTAGGGTTGAAACTGTAGACAAAACACTGGAAGTGCCTCCACTCTGACCCCGACTCGGCTCGGCCACTGTGATCGCCCGGCTCCCTCGGGCTTCCTGCTGGTGTGCGGGCGCCGGTCAAGGGCCTTGCGGCCGCGCCAGGTCCCCGGGCAGCTCCTGCCTGTGGGCGGCGCACGGTCCGTCTGAGGTGTGAAAGGCGGGTAGTTTTTTTTGGGTACAAACAATAACCACTGGTCACACTGTGTCCCTCTCGCAGGGAGCACTAGTCTGGGGCGCTCAGAGCTGAGAGTGTGGGGCTCTGTCCCCAGGTGCAGGAAGGTCGGTCATTTCAGCGAGACAACAGGCTGCGGACTTTCCTCGAGCGGACGGTGCGGCAGGCGGTACCTGTCCAGCCTGAGCAGCGCTGCGGGGTCCGCACGTGCCCGGCCTCACGCGTCCCGTCCTGGGCTCCGGGCTCGGGTCCAGGACCCCGTGGGCGACCGGGCGGAAGACCTGCGGCGCCCAGTCTGGAGAAAGTGCTTCGTAGGATCGCTCCTTAGAATCCGAAGAAAAGCCGTTGGGATCGGAACGTGCTCCGAGAACCTCCCGTGTCTCACCCACGGAGATTCGTGCACAAGAATTTCTCTTCTTCGTATCGAGTTAGAGGGAAGGAGCTGTTTGTGGGGTTCACGTGAATATTTATCGGTGCCTCAGGAGACGTGATTTACCAAAGCAACTCTGTTCTCAGATCGAGAGGAATCAGGTCTTGGCGGCGGGGTCTGTGTTGGTCATTGTTAATACGAGCACCGCAGCTTCAAAGAGGGTAAAATGCATCCTTAATGCTGAGATTTTTAAAAATAAAAGTATCGTTTATATCACCTTTCGGTGTCGGCATGATTCTTGAAGCTGTGAGCAGGTCACTCCCACGAGGACGTCACTCGGACTTCTCCACGCCGACCCGAGGTCACGGCCGACCGCGAGGGGCCCCGTGGGGGCCGAGCCTCAGGCGCCCGACCGCTGCCGGCTGTGCCCTGGCTCGGGGGCCTCGATCGCTCGGCCGGTGAGCTGCAGCTTGAGCGTGTCTCCCGGCACCTGCTGGGCACCAGCCACCAGACCAGCGACAGGACACAGCTCACCGCTCCTTCCCTTTGGGGAGCTGCTGCCTCTCAGAGGAATTCTTTTTCTAATTTTTTTATTTCACCCTCACCCGAGGACACCTCTGCATTTATCTTCAGATAGAGCAGGAGGGAGAGAGAGAAACATCGACGTGAAAGGGACATAGCAAGTGGTTTGACCCCGACCGGGGCCGGGGACGAACCACAACCGAGGTACGTGCCCCCAGTGGGAACCGAACCCCGGACCCCCCGGCCCGAGAGGAGTGTGACGTTCCCCCAAGCAGGGGTGATGTCGCGTGGCCTCAGGCAGGAACTGTGGATGGGGGCGCGGGGACCAGGGCGGAGTCCAGGGCAGGAGTTTCTGCCTCTGCTTTTCCCTTCTGGGCTCTGGGAACCGTCAGGGGTCCTGCCCGCTGCCCGTCCAGGCCTCCGCCCCGCTGACCACATGCATTTCCTCATCTTCAGTCGTGAATTTGAACTCGAACGGGGGCGGGTGGAGAGACGGACAGGAGCCGGCAGGGAGCTGCCTGCCCCCCCGCCTGCCCCCCCTTGGCTCTAACCCTCGGGGAGGGTGTTTCCCGTGGATTTCAGATGAGCCGGAGGGTGGGGGGAGACATCGAAGGGCTGCCTCCTGCTCAGGGGTCAGACCTGCAACCCAGGCACATGCCCTTGACGGGGACTCAAACCCGAAACCCTTTGGTCTGGGGGCCGACGCTCTGACCGCTGAGCCCACCAGCCTGGGCACGTGGCTGAGTTGGTTCCGGTTCCTGTGAAGGTCGCACGGCCACTGGGCCCAGGAGTGGGCGTTGGGACAGCGCCCGTCACTGCAGGGCCCCAGCCTTCCCGGTTGGGGCCAGGTCGGAGCCGGGTGGGGTGCGCTCTGCCCTCCCCAGGCCCTCGGGGCCACGGGCCCGTGCCCTGGGCTCACAACATGCCCCCTGCGTCCTCAGTCACCCCTCTTCCCTGCTGAGCCTGTCCCGTCGGGTCAGCGTAGCCTCAGCAGACTCAGCCGCGCTCTCGTCACTACGGAGGGTCTGAGCCAGGCCGCGGCCTCCTCCTGAGGACAGAGAGCCCTCGGGGCCCTCGTGGCCTCGTCTGCCCGGAGGACCTGCACCCCCCGGCACACCGGGGCTCCCCGCGGGGACGGGGGGCCGAGCCCCGGCCCTGCTGCTGATCCCTGGGGGCCTCACGATGCTCCGGCTCGCGCCCACCAGGTGGTCTGTGGGAGGCCCCGCGAGCAGGCGATGCTGGGGATCCGGCGGGCAGGCTGGCCGGAGCTGTGCCCTGGCCGGAGCTGTGCCCTGGCCGGAGCCGCCCGGACGCTCCAGGGCCGAAGGAGCAGTGGTCGCCCAGCTGCCCGTGGCATGAGGAGGCCAGCTCCAGGCCTCCCTGCAGGGCCCCGTCCGGATGTGGGCTGGGGGCCCTGTGCCAACGTGGGCCGTGTCTGTGGCGTGGACATTGGCTGCGCAGGGTCACCAGCTCTCGTCCACGTCAGAGAGGCCTCTCCCCCAGGTGGCCCCCAGCCCCGGCCTCAGGACCCGCTGTCCCAGGGATGTGTGTGCGCCCATCTGGGCCTCCCCGAGGCCACGCTGCGATCGTGTGAGCCCTGCACCCCCACAGGAGGCCGGTCACAAGTGGGCCCCTTCCCGCCGGGTCCAGCCGCTGACCAGGCAGAGGGTCGGCTCCCGCCCCCAACTGAGGCTCCGTCCAGAACCTCTGCTCTGTGAGGTCCTGGGCCTGGTGACAGCAAGCAGGCCTCACGGACACTGTCCCTTCCACCGGGATGTGGCCGCAGGCCCCAGGGGACGCAGTGGCACGTGTCAGCCACCTGTGGGGACCACGTGGGGGGGTCTCCCCCTCTGAAATGTGGGGGCCAGACAGACCCTGGGCTTCCTCCCTCTGCCTGACTGATGTGTGGCAGGACCGTCTTGCACACCCCAGGGGTGCCCCAGGGCTCAGAACCTCTGGGGGGGCCCCACTCAGCACATCCCTCCGCACTCGGCCCTGAACAGTCCACCCCGCCGTCCGACGCTGGGGCGCTGGTCAGGGAGCCCAGGGCTGGCCGCCCGGCAGGTGCCCGTCCCCGGGCCCTCGGTGGCTGGAGCGGCTGGGCCCGCGTCTCAGAGCAGCAGCCGAGGGGCAGTCAGCTCCGCCGTGTTCGACCTGTGCGCAGGGAGTTCACTGGCGGCCACGTTCGTCCTCAACGTTCATAGCTGACCTGGCCCGTTGCAGCCGGGCTTGTTCTTGGGGGGACGAGTGTTCCGATTGAAAATCCCATTTCATTAGGGAAAGGGACGCAGAAGTGGAAGGACGCGGACACCTGTGCGCGCTCCACGGCGCTGTGTGACGGTGCAGAGTCGCGTGTGACGGTGCAGAGTCGCGTGTGACGGTGCAGAGTCACGTGTGACGGTGCAGAGTCCTGTGTGACGGTGCAGAGCCGCGTGTGACGCTGCGGAGTCCTGTGTGACTGAGCATTTAAAAGCACAGCTCAGACGTTTCACCGACTTGCAGGGAGATGACTCTCCCCTGCCCACAGCACACCCGCCCACACGGAGTCCCCAACAACATGCGTGGACCCCGATTTTCCCTGTTGTCTGGGCAAAGTCCTTTAGCTTCTCCCACAGAGCCGGGGCGGGCACGGGAACTGCGCCCCGCGGTCATGCGGGGCCCGTGAGGACCCAGACACCCACTCCTTTCTCGCTCTGGACGGGTGGAAGGCAGGCCTCTCGCGTGGGCGTGTGCCCGTGCCCGGGGCAGCCGCTCCTTCCCCTGCGCCCACGACCGGCTCCTGGACACGGGCGTGGTCGCCGGCGTCTTTCACAGACTTCCCCGTCCGTGGCTCTGCACAGGGTCCGAGAGTCCACTCGGTATCCGCCAGGCTGATCCCCGGTGAACCCCCGAGTTCTGAGTGTGGCTCGGGCCACTGCGGCCGCCACGTCTGGGTCCCGGTCCCCCAGGGTCTGGGAGGTCTGAGCTCGTCCCCACACGGCCCGTGAGGGGCGTCCTGTGCGCCGGCTCCGTCTCTGGAATTGGGGACGGAGGCCTCAGCCTGGCCCCAGGGTCGCAGGTGACCTTTCCGCTTGAGGACGAAGGCTGGGTAGACTTTTAACTTTCAAAACGAAGCCTTATTATCGACTCCCCTGGAATTACTGCGTTTAACGTAATCTTACAAAGTCAAGATCAGGGTTGTAGTTTTAGGGAAAAATGTCTTTGATTTTTTTAAGTGCAACTTAGATCACTCAACTGTTTTCAAAGAAGCTGAACAAGGGCAGGAAATGCCATTTGCTTTGAGGTTGTTCTGAGAAGTGCTTTCTGCCTTCGGAGATTAGGGCTCCGACGTCCGCCCCAGGGCTTCGGCGGGGCCACGGAGGGGCAGGGACTGCAGCTCGGGACACCCCCAGAGCGGAGCGCGTGTGTGGTCAGGCAGGCGCCGTCCGTCCGCGGAGCCGGACGCCCGCGTGGTGTGGTGCCCACGGCGCCTCGGCGACCCCCCCCGGGAAAAGCAGCAGGAGGCAAAGACTGGGAATAGCAGGAAGACGTGTCGAAGTGGGAATAACACCTCACAGTAGGATCGTGGGTCGTGTCGGAAACTGTGAGTTGGTTTAAGAAAACTTTCCCGAGGGAAACAAGTCCAAGAAGCAACGCTCCCTTTGAAATGAGGCCCGGATGTGTGCAGCCCGGCGTTAGGGACGGTTCGTGTCTGTGAACGGTGGAAAACATTAAGAAGGCACCAAGACACACAGAAAGGATGGAGCTCAGGTGACCCGTCACAGACAGACGTCCGTGAGCCCGCTGTGCCCACGGCCACGCCCCGGCCACGCCCATGGCCCTGCCCACGGCCACGGCCACAGCGGGCAGGGCAGCTGGCGGCGTCACAGGAGGACGGGAACCAGGCGGAAGCAGGCGAGCACCCTCGGCCGACACAGACGAGACACATCAGCAGCACAGCAGCACCGCGCAGCGCTGATGGCCGGCCGCTCCTCGTCCACCCCGCACAGCGCGGCCCCGCCCGACAGGCAGGAGAGAAGGGACAGAAACATTGAGGGAGAGGCAGGGCCGACTTCACCGTCGCGCAGGAAGCGCCGGAGTCTGGAGCACGGAAGCGGCAGTTGTGTTCCTGCACGCTGACAGCACGTGAGGAGGAAATTTAGAAAATCCCATTGATGACGAATAAAATGTTTGGGATAAACTGAGTCGTACAAACATTCAGACGGAAATTGAAGACAAAACGGAAAGACTCCTGTGCTCTGGAACGAGAGCCCAGGGCGTCACCAGGTCCCTGTCAGGGCGGCAGCGGCACCTTTGTTGTAGGAACAGAAACGTCCATCCACCCCGGCTGGCTGCTCGTGGTCGGAGCGTCCGCCTACGCCCGAGGGCCACAGGGTCACTTCCCTGCCGCGGGCACGTACCCGGGCTGCAGGTTCAGTGCCTGGGCCCAGTCAGGGTGAGTGCGGGAGGCGGCCAGTCCGCGTGTCTCCGTCATATCACTGCTTCCCTCCCTCCCGCCCCCCTCTCCAAAAATCAATGGGAAAAGCATCCTTGGGTGAAGATTATAAAGGAAAGAAAGTAAAATGCTAACCTTCCTCTGGAATCCCCAGGGACCTGATAGAAGCATTGTCCTTCCCGCTCCCGGGGGGCGGACGGGGGCCCTGCCCCAGGGGACACAGGTCCAGGGAGCAGG